CGAGGGCACAATGAGACCCCTAAAAGTCCAATAAACCCCCCGAGATAAAGCTGCCCACGGGAACTCGCACCCGCCAGACGCGTCACCCCCCCCAGCCCCGCATCCCAACCCGGCCGAAACAGGGAAGACAAAGAGCAGCACCTTCCCCAGACACTAAATGTCAAGAGATTCCCCTTAAAAAGAAGCAGGAATAGCGGATATCTCATTGCCTGAGCTCTGGCGGGGGGCTGGGGGGTCTTTTCTTGCCCTGACACCGCAAACAAACATTTCTGCCCTGCCCAAGGTGAGGGTTTTTTGGAAGGACTCGCTGCACCTTTGCTGGCTGCAGCCGGGGATAAAACGCCTGGAAAAACGCGGCTCCTCTTCCCAAAACCGCCCCCCGAACTGACCAGACCTGACAACTTCATTTTATTTTGGTTTTTTTTTTTCCTTTTTTTCCTCCCCTTTGCGTTGGGATTTTAAAAATAGCAATATTATTGATCAGAGAGGAAAAACGGTCACCTCGGCGTTCGCTGCTAATTAAGGAGCCTCTGTCCCCAGTTGCTCTTTCCTTCGGTTTTTGGGGGTGGTTTTTTTCCCCTAGGGAAGGTGAAACCTGGGGCAGGGCGGGGGGACCAGGTGGGTGAATTCTGCAAAAAAACGAGCGCGGTTGTTGTGGCGTCCTTGGGATTATTCGCGTGTTAAGATTATTTCTTCACGATAAACGCAGTTCGATTATTAAAGAAATACTTTCACATTAAGCGGTGGATAAAAAAAAAATATCACTGTTTTCCCGCATAGTTCATTGTCTGCTACAGGGAGGAATAACACCGCCACCCTCCCTTTCTAAATGGAAAAATACCCCCTCGATTTCGGAAAATCTAATAAAGGTGGACAAGGGTGGCTACCGGGACTTTTCCTCTTCTCGGGGACGTGTCTGCCAAAAAAACCCCAAAAATAGATTCAAACCCACAAGTTTCAACCTCGCCAGAGGTTTCGAGCCTCGAAAAAAACCCCGAGAATGTGACCTTTGCTGGGCAGAAAAACCTCAAACCAGCTCTGGCTGAGCCGGTGTTTTTCCTCCCTCCACACTTGAAATCGGTCGGAGTCACTCGGGGCTCTGCTGAAAATAATTAGGCTCCTTTTCCCTGTTTTTCGGGGGGTGGAAGAACACGAGGGAAAGGTTTGGAGGGTTGTGGACTTTCGAGGGGGAACGCGGGGCCTGTTAATGACCCCGCGGCGTTCGGGGGGGTTTGGGAATTTTTGCGGCTCCACAGCAAATAATTCCTCCGCGAAGTGTGTCCTCCTCTTCCTCTCCTCCTCCCTCCATCCCTCCCCCGCCAAAAAAATAAATTAACAAGAATCCCGGTGATTTGGGTGTGATTTTTGGGGTTTTTTTTTTTTGGTGTGCGTGTGGTTTTTTTTTTTAACGAGCTCAGTTCCCTTCGCGCAGTCGTAAAAATGAAGTGTCCGAAGTGAAAGGTTGCAGGGAATGGTCACTCCCAGCGCAAAAAAAGTGCGGGGCCGGGGGCACAAACAGAGGAAAAACCGGGAGAAAAATCGCTATTTTGAGGAGCAAAAGGACGGAAAAAAAGAAAGGTGGATGGTTATTTTTTGCGGGCACGCACAAAGGGGAGCACAGACTTTCTGGCTCACTTTGCCTCTCTGGCGTCCAATTTTAAGCAATGGTCTACTTTATTCCCTTGGAAGGACGCTTCCCTGCTATTTCCAGGCGTGGATTTTCGGTGGTTGGTTCGAAAGGAAGCAAAGGAGGGGAGGGGAGGTGGAAATTCAAAAATAAAATGAAATGAAATAAACTCCCCGT